AAACCCCGTACTGCCCCACCAAACAAAAAAAGAATAAAGGAATTAAAAATGAACATAAATCTCTAATATTTGTCATACATGATAAATTTGGTTAAAAATAAAAATTGCAGTAATCTGTGTGGACTGAAGATTTTTTAAAATCTTTCCATTTTTCAGAAATGTCCATGCCGCGGGATTTCTGTACAACCTTTATAGCCCATAGTATATTTTTCTAGTTCTGTGTTTACCTTGTTTCTAAAATACAGCTTTTTCTGTAAGGACATGTGCTAATTTTTTGTCATGAGTGTAAATGCTGTGTATTTCCAATGACTGTGGCTCTTGCTTTCACTTGCCTCCAACATAACTTTCTATGTTAACTTTCGTATAGTTATTGTCATTAATTTGTCTCATAAGAATAAGTGTAAATGTTTTTTTCCCAGTTGTTATATCTGCAAATCAAAAGTTTGAAATATACCTAGTAGCTGCCCATAAGTTGCTTTAACAAATATTTATGTAAAGAAGTTTCTATTTTATCTTGAAAGTAGAACCAACTTCCAAGTTAAAATTTTTATAAATTAATAGTGTTATCTTTGTAAAGAGAAAATTCTTCCCCTCCTAATTTCCTGCTTTCATTCTTGCTAGTCTCTGTCCTAGTCCTTCTTCTACTTCAAAGTCTTTTCAATTGCAAAGCAACTGTTTACAGTCAGGGTCAGTCTTACAAATAGTAAAATGTGACCAGGCCACATACGTCCCAAGTCAGAAGCCTGGATCTGCATAATACACTTTTATTCTCTCAAAAGCAGCAGATTTCTTTGACATATGCTATCCTTGAATTAAAATATTTGTAATGATGCTCTGAAGATTTCATCAGCATTACTTTTTTTTAATTAAATGATTTGAGCCTGTGAGAAAAATAAGACCTTTTTTGAGAACCGGATATGCTCTTAGTACATAGTTGATAAATGTTGGCATTCATGATGTGTTTAAGCAGATTAAAATATCACATAGCACCTACTTTTATACTCTCGTTTTCTATTTCAGGTCACAGTGTGAGAAACATCCAGGCCTTCGCAGTTCTTCAGAATGCATTTTTGAAAGCAAAAACCAACTTCCTTGCCCAAATCATCCTTGATGCCATCACAAATATTTACATGGCTGACAGTGCCAATTATTTCATCCTAGAGTCACAGCAATACACTGTCACAGTTTGCAGAGAAGATTTCTAAACTCCCACAAGTACAAAACAAATACTTTGAGATGCTGGAATTTGTCGTTTTTAGCCTAAATTATATCCCTTGTAAAGAACTTATTAGTGTTAGTATCCTCTTAAAATCTAGCTCTTCTTACCACTGTAGCATTATTGCAATGAAAACACTTCTTAAGTTTACAAGACATGACTACATATTTAAAGATGTGTTCAGGGAGGTGGGCCTTCTGGAGGTCATGGTAAACCTATTGCATAAATACGCTGCCCTCTTGAAGGATCCGACTCAGGCCCTAAATGAACAAGGTAAAGCATTTTCCCTAATTCTATCCTTATTTGGCAGAAGGGTTTAGGAAAGTTGTTTTTTCCTGTTTTGCCTTTCATCTAATTATTGATTTGAATGACTTCCTGATGTATAAGAATGTGATATTCTATTGAATACTTCCCAAAGTTAACTTTTTTATTAACTTCAGTTAGGAAATTGGGAAAGGGGAAAGGGAGCCTAGAAAAAATTATGTCCTTGCAATAGAAGAAAGTTTAAAGTAAGGTAAAAACTTAGGAAAGGCATGTAAGATCCACTTACTAGTGTCTATTACTTTCTAAGAGAGAATTATAAACAAAAAAACTCCTAGAAATTAGAACTATTATTAATTATTAACTATAATTATATGTGCAAATATCTCATAGTGTTTTTATTGATTACATATCCATTTAGTGATGTTACATACACATATTTATGTCTGACAATTAGTATTAGATGTGAGTGAATACAAGTTGAATAAATTGTACTGGTCATATACTTTTCTTTCTTTTTGGTACATGAAAATCTAGCATTCTGCTGTTGACAGCCCTGATTAGAAGCCCCATGAGAAGGATGCATTTAACTTGGTGTCCTCATTTTTAATGTTCATTAGATAACTTTCTAGCCATACCCAAATAAAATCTGTTAACACTGATTTTGTGCCTACTTTTGGCAAATGTTAAGACATATGTATCATTTTCAAAATTATATTTTAGCAGTTGTAGCAGTGGTAAATGTGAGTGCTAAAGAAATGTTAGAAGGAATTACTTAAGTATAACTGACTCAAGAAAAAATAAGCTTATTACTTTTGTGAATTGGGCCTTTGAATTTATTTCCTAGGGGACTCAAGAAACAACAGTTCAATTGAAGACCAAAAACACCTGGCTCTTTTGGTTATGGAGGCCTTGACAGTACTTCTTCAAGGATCAAACACAAATGCAGGTAATTAGAAAAGCCACAAACAAATGCTTGGGGAGATGACTTATGATTGTATGTGCTGTACCGATTTCTGCTTGTGAAATGCTTCTGTACCTGGAGGAACAAGTGTTGTTTCAGTTACGGGACAGTCATATCTCTAAAAATGTAATACTTTGGACCATTAGAAGTATATTAATGACAAAACAGCTAACACTGTTAATATTTCAAAATGTTTTTATTGCTTCTTATAGTGTGCCTTTTCTTCAAAGTAGTTTTCTTTTACTTACAAAATACACTCTTGTTCAAATAATTTGCTTATTTAAATTTTTTTCCAAAACATTTGCTTCATATGGTGATTTTCTTAAATTTTGTAATACAAGTTAAAGTATTTTAATGTTAAAACCTCAGGTAAAATACTTCATTACATTATTCTACTTTATCTTTTGTCTCAATTTCTCTTCAGTCCTTTTCTCCCTATAATTAGTAGACAGTCCAGCTGTATTTATAAAATGTCAGTGTTGTTTTTAAAAACGATACCTGCACAAATGCATGACTGTCTGAATGCAGAGAAAGTCAACATTCAACATATTTAAAGTCTGCTGTGTCCAAGGCACCATGCTAGATGTTATAGATGCAAGGATAAGTCTCACTGTAGGAGAATTACAATCTAATTGGGAATGATAAACATATAATCATGTAACTAATTATTTAAATATAATTTTGGCAGATGCCAAGCCAGAACTGAATGAATTTAGTAGGTAATTGAAACAATGACTATGATTGAAGTTTATTGCACACTGTAGTAACATTTATCTATTGAATAATAGATAATTTCCTTATTTCTTCTAACTAGATTAGTTGACTGAAATACTCAGAACCATAATAAAAATATACAAACGAGAATTTATTTGGCAAATTAGCTGGTCATGATGTGACATAGAATTGCATGGGAAAGGATTGGGCTATTGTAGTATTGTAGAGAATGAAAAGCTTATCTGTATGACACATTCACTCATCTCCCATGGTGCCAAACATTTGCACAGTTCTTTCTTTTTTTCCTGCATATTTGCTTTTTATTTACATCTGGAAGGATTTTTTTAACTTAATTTTATTTTTATTATCATATTGCTGTACTGGGGGTACGTTGTGACATTTACAAAAATAGTATGTCATAGTTAGGTTCATCCCCTCCATCATTCTCCTCACGATTTTTTCTTAATGTCTTTCTTTTCCTTGTTAAGAAAGATGTTATTGGCCGTATGATCTGAGGTACTTAAAACAGTGCTTTGCTCATAGTAAGTATTCAAAAGATATTAGCCATTTTGATCTTGTAATGGGACCTAACTGGTACCCAGCAGGTCTATAAGTCTGAACCTTCACATATTCAAAGGATCACAGATTCCAGGTACAACATCCTATCATTTTTTTTCTTTTGGTTTTTTGAGGCAAGGTCTTAGTAGGTAGCCCAAGCTGGCATAGAACTCAGGTTTCTAGTGCCTCTACCTCCCTAGTGCTAGAATTACAGGCATGCACCATCACAACTGGATCCTTGTACTAAGTCTAGTTTTTTTTGTTTGTTTGTTTGCTTTGTTTTGTTTTTCTGAGACAAGATCTCCGTATGTAGCCCAGGCTCTCCTGGAACTTGCTGTGCAGTTTAGGCTGGCCTCAAACTTATTGTCCTACTACCTCAGCCTCCTGAGTGCTGGTATTACAGGCTTTAATCTCCACTTCCAGCTTTTCATGTACTGCATCTTAAGCACTTGACTTAATTGCTTCCATATAATTCCTAAAAAGTGAGCAAATAGAAAGCCACGACATTGGGAGGACTGTGGCCACTCTAGCAAATTTTGCTGTCCGTTATGCACTTAACAGGTATTTGTTGAAGCATAAATCAAGTTTCATAGGGGACTAGACATATAAACAATAATAAGAGTGTTTGACAATGGAGGTATATTTGAAGTATTCTAGAAGCATAAAGGACATAGGAGTAACTTAATGGGAATCCAATTAGTGATTTATGTCACTTGGCCCATTTTTATTTGTAGTTGAGGATGGCATTTGATGTGAGAACAATATCACCTGTGAGCAGGAGCACAGGCTATGGAGCTGGGCTATGTAGACATAAATCTCTTACTAGCTGTATGATATTGGACTTCTGTATGGTTGGGGTAAGGATTCAATAAATTCATCTGTGTGAAGACTTTGGAGCGATATGGTGACTGATGTTTTACAGATTTGTCTTTTTTGTTCTTGTGCTCTACTTTGAATCCTTATAATTTTTCCCATGGTAATTTATTTCATTCTTTTCCTGCTACTATTTTAAAAACACTGTTCAGTTTAAATCTCATTTATTTATGATTTTGTTCATCTGAAACCCTTTTACATAAGTTGTTTTTAGTGTAGGGTCTTCTAGATTTGCAGAATTTGGACATGATGAATATATCAGGGAGTTAAGCTTACTTTAAGAAAATCTACAGCAAGTGTGCATTCGCCTCTTCCAGTAGCCCATTGTACCAAGCTGTGAGTTATAACATTAAAGGTAAAATAGCCTGGTAGGTTTTACTTGCATTCTTTAGAATTTCTATACCTACAGAAGAAATTGATTTTATCCATCTGGCTTGTCTTTAGAATGTTTTAAGTTATCCCAGAGTGAACTTTTTCTCCCTCCTTCAAGGAATATTCCGAGAGTTTGGAGGTGCAAGATGTGCGCACAACATAGTGAAGTACCCTCAATGCCGGCAGCATGCCCTGATGACTATCCAGCAGTTGGTGCTCTCTCCAAATGGGGACGATGACATGGGCACACTCCTGGGCTTAATGCATTCAGCCCCACCCACAGAACTGCAGCTGAAGACTGACATTTTAAGGGTAAGCTTGACAATTGTGTGTCTACTTTCTTACTACTAAAATCTGTGGTTCTTTTGAAATCATTTATACTTAGAGATTTTAAAAATCCTAAGTGCCAAAACCCACAACTTTGTACCCACAACTGTGTTAGGGATTTGGAAGAACTCCATTCATTCATCTCTTTCAAGAGGTATTGGCCTACTGCTGATAAACCCTTGCAGTAGTAATCTTGGTTTCTAAGAGATATCTTAAATTAAAATACACATTAGCCAAGAATAGCCTCTTAATAAATAACAAATATGCATTTTTCTATTCAGTTGCAACCATTCAATGTTATACAACTTTGAAATAAAATGTTACATGATGTATGTATATATGTATGTAGTAGAGTAATAGACACTCTGGCAGATAGCAAACAATATGCTTCAAATTTTACTCATGCTCTTATCGTTTCACTTCTTAGCAATCCTATAAAGTAGTGCCCTACTTTGCAGATGCGGAAACTTAGGCTCAGAGAAGCCATTTAACTGGGATGTGTTTGCATAACTGACTTTTAAGTAGAAGAACTGACCTCCAAGTTTCAATACCCATATTCTTTCCACAGCATCGTTATGCTTTACAAAGTGTACACATGCACATTCTCTCACATTAGTGCAGTCACTGGTTTTTCTATCTAAGAAGCTTTTAGAGTCAAACTAAAATTAAACATTTCATTTTAATTTACATGTGAACTTAGTAATGCAGGTAAGATATGATTGATAAGTAAAAATACAAAGTAATATATAAAACAGTTTTTCCAAGTACCAGAAATCAGTGTAATTTTAACAGGAGGTAACATTTATTGGCTGGTTCTGATGTATCAGGTATTGTTTCATCTACTTACTTAGTTCTCTTATAAAGATAGGTACTACTAGGATCCCTACATTATATTTTTTATTTTATTTGCTTATTTTTTTTGTGCTGCCAGAGATCAAATCGGCCATAGATGTGCTAGTCAAGAGCTGTACCACAAAGGTGTGGCCCCTGTTTTATAGATTATAAACTGAGATACAGACTGCTTAACAGTGTGCTCAAGTATATATGTTTAATAGGTAGAAGAGCCATGATTTGAACCCATGTAGTCTCTTTACAGAGTTGTGCTTTGAACTTATGTGATATAAATAATAATTTCAATTAAAAGAGACATAGTCACCCGCTTTTTTTTGGCTAGAAACTTTTCTTTGTATTTAAATAACATCTGAGTAAAGCTGAGAAATCCATTAGAATTGTCATTTTTCTATTCGCTTATTGACACCAGGTTTCTAAATTCCATTTTCCACTGTAAGGAAACAGGACTCCTTAGAGAAATGGTTAATGATTCAAGGGCTTGAGCAGAGAAAGAAACAAGATGAGCCTAAAACATCTGATTTAGCCAAAAAGTAAGGAAATGATTAAAGAAAATAAGTGAATAATATAAGCAAATATGTAAATGGGAGAGGAAAAACAGCCCCCATTTACATTTAAAAGGTAAATAATAAGGAAAATCACCATTTGCAAACTGTCATGGTAATAATTGATTCAGGTAAAAATCATGACTGTCTGTTAAAGATGGTAGATGAAAATTTGAGGAGTGACAGGATTTTATATAGTCTCAAATTATAACTTCAAATATATTTTTAATTTCAAATGATGAAATACTAGCTTTACAATGAATTCTGTCTTAACCAAATATTCTAAGTTAATTTCCCAGGAATGGGACAAGTTGAGTAGTATGTGTCTTCAGGTATCAAACCCTATGAATAATTTAGCATCAGGTTCTTGGGGGTTTTTTCCTACCAAAAGTGTATAGTCTGAATCTAATTATATGACATCAGATAGATCCAAATTAAGAGACTTGTTACAAAATAACTGGCTTGTGTTCTTCCTAAATGAAATTAGAAATGACTTAGGAACTATTCCAGAGTAAAGAGGTTGAAGTAACTACTGAGGGTGGCACATGATCTTGAACTTAAGTCTCTTGCCAGAAAGGATATTATTGGGATTTGGCAAAGCACAAGGAATCTTTTAGGAGTAAAGGAGAATGGAAAGAGGAAGGGGGGAAGGAGAGAGAAGGATAACATAAATGTTAATATTTGTTAAATCTGAGATATCTGGGAATTCTTTGAACTATTTTTGAAATTTTTCTTCAAGTCTAAAAGTATGTCAAAATAATGATAAAGAATGAAAAGCCAGTGTTTTTAACCAGGCATCCAGTGCCCTCACAACCTGACCCTCCCCTCTAACTTCCTCTCCTGGTGCTCTCACCTATAGGGAAGGAAAATATAATTTTCCCTCTACCCTGAGTTTTTAGCTGGAACCACCCTGCTGTGACCAACAAAGGACAGATTAATATGAAAAAAACAAGCAGAAGATAACCTTTAAACCTCAAGTATACATGGGAGATGTTCTAGGAAAAATGACTAGTTTAGAGTTCTTACCTACAAGATGTCTTCTCAACAGAGAGCGTACATTTTTGGAGAAGTGTCAAGACAGAAGAAGAGGACTCTAGGGAAAGCACAGAAGTATTAGATAAAGACTAGTGAGTAAAGTCAGTTATATAGATTCCACCTGTGTCTTCTGTAGACTGATGGGAGCTGACTTTGTCTTCATGATCAAACTTTGTCCTTTATGGTAGAGAAGGGAAGAGAACACCTATGTCCTTGTCTGTTTATGTCTTGTTTATTAGGCAAATAAGGGAAAGGAAGAGAGCTTTTATTGTAACTGCTGCTTAATTGCCTCCAGTTTAAAGTAATCCCTTTATCAAGGTGGCATATTCCGGTCTCCTACATACCACATTCCAACCATAAACATAACAAGGATTATCATTGCACTTCCTTTTGCTTCTATTCAATTAAATTTCTCATCATCAATGAGAAATTAGCATTTTTAATGCTGTTGTATATTTCATCCTGTTTTGATTGAGTTCAATGGCAATTTTAGTTAGGCATTTTATTTTAAAGCAATACCACAATAATTCGTCTCTTAGACAAAAAGGAAACCTATATGAGTATCAGTATTGGAGAAATAGTTGTATATTTGAATGGACTGTTGGAAGAAAATTAATGGCTTCAAATATACTAAGGTTGCTAGTTTTTTTTTAAACATATTTTTTCCCCCTTTTTGGTACTTTGTTAATTGGATTAAGCAAAATATTGATGAGTAAACCCAACAAGAGGAAGTCAGTTGACCCATAAGTTAGAGGCATTATTATTGTGGCTGGTGTTAGTAACTGACTCTCAGGCCTGAGGAATGCTGGAGGGGGAACCTGATGTATTGCATTTCCTGCTTTCCATGGTGTAAATACTCCCACTGAGGTCTGTTCCAGGATCTGATGTGTTTATTGCTGAATGTAGATTGGGAGGAGGTTCACAGTAGCCCTGTTATATAGTATTTCCACATGTGATAGTTAAGAACATGATAATGGTAACCTATAGAAAATAATTAGCAAGTGATGGGTTTTGAATATTACTTTTGTTTTTAAAATAATTTATTTATAAATTTACAGAACTTGGTTTTTTATTATGACTGTGTTTTATAACTGACTAGGAAATGCCTGAAAGGATGATAACAGACTCCTAAAGGCTAATATGAGCCAGTTCTGTATTCTGCTTTGAGGGCATAAATTTTTAGAGCTGGGAAGTAGCAGGGAGGATTTGAGATTTCAGTTTCCATTTGTTTCTACTACCTTGAAAACTACTTCTCAGAGTCTCCATTCCAACTTACATAATTTAATTGGTAATTATTTGGCATATACCTGAACTCCCATGATAGGTCCTTCAACATTTAAAATGTATGCATTTCATTTGTCCAAATATAAGTGATCTAGCTGAAGGATTTGTCTACTTTACCACTGACCATCCAGATCTCATTGTATCTGTGATTGATGTCTCATGCTTGTTATCATTTACTAATTTAAGCAAGAGTTAAGTTGTTCCTGGTACTTAAAAATTTTCAAACACTGAGATTATACTGTGATGAATGTCTCAAGTGTCAATAGATACCAAATTTGAAGAAATAGGAGATGGACCTTCCAGAAATACATAATGCAGTGTGTATTGAACTAAGGGTTCATAAGTACTGTTTTTTCTAATCCTTCTCTTTATTCTGTGAGTTTCGTACATGTTACTTCAACTCTGAGCATATCCTTCCTCATCTATAAAATAATACAGTCATGTGCCATGTGTAGGTATTTCTGAACCTCAGCATTTCCTGTTGCCTACTGTTTTTATTGTACATTTTCTGTATTTAGGTATGTTCACACACACAAATGTTTAACATTGTGTTAAAGCTGCATGCAGTAATCTGCATAGTAACATACTGTACAGGTTTAGTGCCTCAGAGCAATAGGCTATACCAGCCAGTCTGGTTGTATAGTAGGTTGTAGCACATAAGATTGTGTAAGAACACAACACTGCCATCTTCTCTCATAACATATCTCTCTTGTCATATTTTCCCCCATGAGTTTTTGCAAAAAGTGATGGGCTTATATGCCAAGTGCTCTGCTAAGGGTTTTACCTGTATTTCCTATGAGATAAGTATTATTTCTATTTTACCTAAGTGAAATGTTGAATAACTGGTGTGTTCAAACCCTTTGTTGTTGGAGTCAGAATTTGAAATCAAATATCTGACTGTGTTTGCATTTAACCTCTAGGTCAGGTTATTTTAATTTTTTTTATGTTAACAAGGCTTGTTTTAGTAGAGGTTACCATTGCAAGTATAAACACAGTTTATTAAATTTGACAAGATATAAAAGCTGTATTCGCAAATACTTTTAAGACGTAAACTAATTGTTTATGATATAGTAGTAGGAATATACTGGGTTTTATATTTTATTTACATATATAGTTTGCATACTTTTTGTTTTTTTAATAGTAAGTTTTGGCATAGGTATGTGCAATTTTTCTGAAGCAGTGTATTTCCAAAAGTGGATTATATATGTTTAGTGTATAGCCTCCCTTTTCTTCACAAAGGTATTTTAATAAAATGACTTTTTTACATGTAATGACCGATAAGATTATAAATGTGTCTTAAATAGTAGATACCCACCTGCTGTGTTACAAGTACTGAAACAAAAGGGAAAGGATCTGTTGTATATGAAAACGGATTTCAAATTACAGGTCAGGGCAGTATAATGTCATGGCTAAGTGTATGAGTAGGGAAGTCTTTGGCAAAGTATTTGACCATGTTGGACTTTAATTCCTAGTCTACAAAGTGGAGGTAATACAGTAAAGCCTGCATGGTTCATGGATTTACTACATGCAGTTTTGATCAACCTTAGTAAAAGAAAGAAATTCAATAACAATTTTTTTTTAATTTCCATGTGTACATTATGCAGCTCAAATGCTTTTGGGAGACTCTCAGTTCCACATTGTCATTGGTTGTGTTTAAACCGTTATGTGACCTACTGAGTGCTTCTCTATCCTTAATTTTGTGAAAATCTGCCTCCCAAAAAGCAAATGGTGCCAGAAAAGAAAGGTAAACGTTATGATAATCCTCCCAAGCCAAAAAGAACACATGCTGTGCTGAATTTAAGTGATAAAGTATAAATTTTAGACTTGTTGAAAGGTGGACTTATCTTTAGTGGAAGTTGGGTCATGTTATAAGAAAAATGAACCAAACATCTGTACTATTCATAATAAAGAACATGAAACATGATCTAGTTTTTGGTGAGCAATGTTGATGTGTGTAAGAGTAATTTTGAGATACTCCATGTGGTTTCAAGTTATGGATGTTCAGACTGACTATATATACAAAATTTGAGTAATTTTGGAGTATTGAACTGTGGATTCTTGTTTTTCCCTCAACAGTGGTCTCCTTGGAGCTATATACCCATGGATACCAAGGGACTACCCTAACATGGTTTGAGCATTCTTAGTCCCAGAATCCAAAATCTCAAATTCTAGATGTTTGAGTGCAGATATGATATCACAAATGGAAAATTCCCTACTATGAAACTTTGTTGCATGTACAAAATTATTGAAAATATTGCATAAAATTACCTTTAGACTGTATGTATAAGGTACATTTGAAACAAATTATTTTTGTACTTACTGTGTATGTGCAAACATTTCAAAATATCCAAAAAAACTTGGAACCAAACATTTTGGAAAAAGGATACTCATCTGTAGTAACTAACACATAGCATTTTTGAGATATTTAAATAAGATAATGCATGAAAACATTTATTGGCTAGTACCCAGTAAATTTCTTATTAAATATTAGGTGTTACTTTTAATAACAGTGAAGCTAAAAGTACAACAGTTTGATAAGCAGCTGATAATTATAAAAGCTTGATTTGATTATTTACTTTAGTTCTACTTCTTAGAACATAAAGCTGTCTTGGGAAAGGGCATAGTTTTAGCCATCAGAACCCAATTCACTTTGCGAGAGAGACTATCTTAATAAGTCCTCAGAAGTGAACCCTCTTTCTAAAATATGAGAATATGGCCATTTTACATGAACCAAAAGACCTCAGATCTTAGCTGCCCTAACCCTTGTCTCTGATCCTTCCTGGAATAAATCAGTTTCTATACACATACACCATCATAGGTATCATAATGGTTTGAAATTGGACTAGAATATGTAATAAATATCTTAGTAAAATCACTAAATTTGTTAATGGTGTTATCAATTAAAGGCATAAAAAGAGCTTTATCTAGCATTTATATATAAAACCTACCTGAAATTTTCCTTTGCCTTGGTGTAACTTTTCTTAACTAGCAAAGTATTTGTTGTGCTTTATACAACTACTTACTGGGTCAATAACAAAAATATTCACATCAGATGATCACAGAATGCTATTCCCCTTTGACATTCATATACAGTAGTATTTGTTTTGATTTTTTTTTAATTTGAATTTTGTTTATTCCATCTTCTTTTGTCCCTTTAGGCCCTCCTGTCAGTCCTTCGAGAAAGCCATCGTTCAAGAACAGTTTTTAGGAAAGTTGGAGGATTTGTGTACATTACATCCTTGCTCGTTGCTATGGAAAGATCTTTGAGCTTTCCGCCCAAGAATGGCTGGGAGAAAGTGAACCAGAATCAAGTGTTTGAACTTCTCCACACTGTGTTCTGCACATTGACTGCAGCCATGCGCTATGAGCCAGCCAACTCCCATTTCTTCAAAACAGAGATTCAGTATGAGAAGTTGGCAGATGCTGTTCGGTTTCTTGGCTGCTTCTCAGATCTAAGAAAAATAAGCGCCATGAATGTCTTCCCTTCAAACACACAGCCATTTCAGAGACTGCTAGAGGAAGACGTGATCTCAATGGACTCGGTGTCGCCCACACTGCGACACTGCAGTAAACTCTTTATTTATCTCTACAAAGTAGCTACAGATTCGTTTGACAGGTATGGCTCTGCTCTGTCTTCTGATCTACAGGGTGTACTCACTGTGACTTCAACATTAAGATCTGAATTATAAGTTAACCCAAAGGAAGACAAAAATGAATCTTCTTTCCTGTTTGCCTGAGGCGCATGGCTGTATTTGAGAATATTATACTGTCCTGGTCTTAAGCTTTTCAGCATGGAAGCCCATGTATTATTTGTAAGTTCAGGGTCAGTTACTTCTCATCACGCTTTACAGAACAGTTCTTTGGAGTTTCCTTTACTGGTGATAATTACTATTCTCTTTTTTCCTTTTTACTCAAAAAATATTAGTTATTGATACTGGTTTATCAACAGGCGAACATGGCTATGATGATAAATATTTCATACAGATGGCAGATAGCCTGTTCTTAATGTTTCATAATCCTTAAAAATGATACCTTAAACTTATGAGTAATGGAAATAACGATTCAGGGTGATGCTCAAATCCTCACTACTGATGTAGCGTGAATTTTTGAGTGGAAGATTACCCCTAAGGTGAACCACCTACTTTGCAGGATGCCTGGGTGTAGTCATCTGCCCGTCCCCTGTTTAAAAAAAAAAAAATGATATAACTTCCTAAGAGACATACCAGTGTCTTGAACCACCAAGTTCAAGAACCTATCAGAGTCACTTAGTCATTTAATAGACAAGTATTTAATAAAACCCTGCTGCATGCCAAATCATTATACAGGAAGTTATTGCGGATTCTACTCTGTACAGACTACCATGATCCTTGCTATCCTTCAGCTGGTATAGAAACATAAGCAATTACAATGTACTATAACAAATTTTATGTTGGGAAAATCTAGGTTCTAATGAGAAAGGAGAGCCACTTTCCTTAAATCACTTTTCATTGCTTCAACTGTGGGGTTTTTTTTTCCCCAAAATTCCCACTTTGAAAATAATTCAAGAGTAGTCAGGCTGCGAATTTGTGTTTTGAACACTATCACTTTTAACAGTTTGTGTAGTTTTCTTTCATAAAATAAATGAACTGTTTCTATATTGTATCTATAAATAGACCAAGTAGCCAGAGCTTTTAGTAGATTTTGTACACTTTGCCATGGACTATCTACTAAGATATTTCTTGCTTTTAAACATTATTTCTTAGTTTTTAATAGTTAGATTTGAAAATCCAGATATTGTAAGAAAGAAAATGCATACCTATTATTAATTGACAGGCAACATGGAATTGCACAGGATTGAAGGAGTAAGCTGTGTAAATTTGTGTGATCAGATTCAACTTCTTTTCTCTTGTTTTCTATTTATCCTAGTTAGTGTACCTCTTTTTTAATTTGCATCGTCAAAAACAGGTTCTACAGCACTATGTTTAACAAACGTGTTAAGTGTTAACTTTAATAGAATAAGCATCTGCCTTAAGCATGCTTTTCTGTTTCATTCAGTGCATGTGTTATAGTCTCGTTCCTTGTTCCTGCTGAATATGGAGGATGGTCCTTATTAAACTTTGACTGGCATTTCTTGTGAAACTAACCAGCTGCCAACCTGTTGTTCTCTCCTCCTAACCTCTCTCAAACACCCTGTTTTGTTGTCTATAGTCGTGCAGAACAGATCCCTCCTTGCCTGACAAGTGAGTCTTCTCTCCCCTCTCCTTGGGGAACACCAGCTTTGTCCAGGAAAAGGTACTGATCTTATAAGAGAAGTCAATCTTGATTTGTGCAGATATTGTTCTATGCTTACTCTTGTGTTGATGTGGTGACTGTGCCTTCTAACTGAGTCAGGTTTTGTTTTTGGTTTTTTTTTTCTTTTGCCTTTCTATTTGTTTTCTAAAAAAAATTTGTTAGGTTTTTAAAATATTAATTTTCTTGAAAATAAAGTGTGTTTGTTCTATGAAGCTATGAAGGACATACAGAATTTTTCATTCATCTCTTATTTAGTCCAAACTGCACACTTTATTTTTAGAGCAAGCAAATCTTTTTTAAAAATAAGCTAGAAATAGGACTTAATGCCTCTTTTAGTATATTGCTTTTCAGTTTTTCTTTTTATTTTAAATGTTGTTAGGATCATTCATTGATTTTTTTACTGTTATTCCAAAGTGAACTTTGTAGCACTAGGAGAAAATGTGCATATTCTCAATCAAATTTAACCAGTTGAAATAGGATGCTGTAATAAAGACTTGTCAAGGCCAAACTTAGTAAAAGTGCAGAAAAAGCCCAACCCCAGTTCTTAGTTTCATCTGTTCCATGTAAATCTGTAAGCTGATGAATATAAATTTATCAATTTAAAAAAACAGCTGTTGATTGACAGAAGTATAGTTATAAAATGCATTCAGGATTCCATTTGCAGCCTGCACTTAGTGATCAGTCTATGCAGTTGGCACCCAGTATTCTCTCTCCCTCCCTTCCTTCTTCATTTCTTTCTTTCTTTCCTTCTCCTTCCCTCCCTTCCTTCCTTTTCCTTTTTATGGTGTTGGGAATCAAACCAGGGCTTTGCACATGCCAGCTAAGTGTTCCACCACTGAGCCACACCCCTAAGCCTCTTTGTTTTCTTTTAAAGTGCTTATCTTAATTAAAAAAACTATAAAGTAGGTAAATTTGAGTTGGCTTAGGTTTCTGTTGCTAAAATGAATGAGGTAAAAGAGATTTGCATTTGAAGATCTGTGAATGCTCATGGTCCCAAAGAACTTCTGAATTTTAGAGAGATAATTCAATTGCAAAATAGTTGAAATTACTATGAATCACAATTTTAAAATATAGTGATCATACCATAAATGATACAAGGCCTAAAAATGGCCATGTTCCAAAACATTTAGTCCTTTATGTGTGTAACCCAAACCCACCAGATAGAAATTCACAGATTAAAGGAACACATTTCTTCTAAAAGCCCATCAGAAGTTCTGTTATTTAAATGATTATTGAGCAATGGAAGACAACATTTTTTTCTTTGCACAGTTATTTATGGCCTTAAGTCAGAAGCATGTTTCATCGTTTGCAGTGACTTAAGGAAAACTGTTGCTGAAGCAGCAGATCTAATATAGTGAGTCCTAATCCTTGTGCGCTCTCTGTCAGTCTTACAAATTGATGTTACCCCAAGAATGGATATTCATTCATGCTAAGAAGATCAGTGTTGCTATTTTCGTTTTTGTTTCAAGCACTGCTAGAAATTAAAAACATGCTAGGCAAGTGCTCTACCACTGAGCTACATCCCCAGCCCCAGCGTTGACATTTCCAGATTTCTATTCTAATCAGGTTATATACAGTTTGCTTAGTAATAAGAATTGTAACCAAGTAAATAATACAGTGTTTTTAACTTCACAAATTCAAATATAGTCCCTTTTAAAATTATAATTTTAGTCATACTATTTCTAGAACTTCTCCAAAACGTTCATCAGCTCATGGGTTGTTTGTTTTTTTGTTTTGTTTTGTTTTGTTTTTGCAATACATGTTGGTTTTGTTGGCAAAAGGAAAAACTAGTGTTGGGAGTGTGTTTTTATTATTTGTGGAGCATTCAGATGCTATGGAAGTTTTATACTTGTGTTATTTGCCAGACATATAAAATCCTGGAGATTCTGTAATTACTTTTAAAATTGGGAAAAGAATTAGGTAAACTCAAAGTTGGAAAAATAAAACACGTTCATTATTTATTACTGAGGAGAAGTAGCAGAACATACTACATAGCCAAATAATGCTCAGAGTTAGTTAGAAGAATGGAAAACAAAATATAAAATAAAACTGTACAAAGCAGATCTGCCATAGAGAAAGGGTTGCATGTGCTTACACACTTGATAATAAAGCAAAGCAGACACAAATATTTAACTATTGTTCCTAAAAGAAGCAAATGGAGTCTGAAGTACATATAAGAATTTAGATTGGAATAGTAAATACCAATTTCTATAATTTTTCAAATTAACTACAACATAAAAATTAAAATGTCATTTTGTCCTCTTTGCAAATGGATAAGTATTACTTGTGAATTAGCTATTTAATAAGCTTACCATAACTCATAAATTTAAATAATGGTAGTACCTGTGGTGATAATCCTATTAAGAATTAATGCTGTATAAAACCTGTTATAGTACACCTAATTTTAGTTAATAAATATCATATTTTAGGTTTTACCAATGTTTATAGTATTTTTATAGTTTGAAATCCATGTAATTCCTTTATGAGAATTTTGTTTTCTTACATGAGATTTTTAAAGTTCACTACTATAATAATTACATGTAAGGAGTGTGTTTTCCAAAGATACAAAGATGTCTTCCTAGTATGGCCATAATTTATGTTCAACTGTCGATTAAATCTGTTAATTTAGCAAGAATATTGGAAGGAAGGCTTGTAGATAAAATACATAGTTAGAATCTATGTTTTTTCTCAAATTTTGGTAGCTGTTTGTTTGTAATGAAAATACCTTTTAAGAAATTTCAGGATTCACTGGTTGGAGATCCCTGTTACAATATAGAAGAATTATGAATCTTTTTAAAAATATTTTTTAAAAGGGTGGTTCAAAATAGGAGGAGGATACCTGTTAGTAATAAACATTTAGAAATCTCTTTGTCAATAAGTTTAGAAATTAAATTTTTCTTAATGAAAACCAGCAAAGTACAGCTGGGAAAACATGAATGGGTGAGGAAGTACTGACTTTAAATCAACCAGGATTGGCCTTGTGCTTTTTATGAGTGAAACTAAATACTTTCCTAGAATCTCCATGAGAAAGAACGGTACTGTTTTTGCAAACATGGCAGCACCAATGCTTTGGCACTAAATCACTGATGCGCAGCGTCTGTTTCCCAAGCTGCTCTTATGCCAGAGCTGAAACCACACTGCTCTCAGTGGCAGAGCTCAGCATCAGGCAGATCATGCTAAGAACAGCTATTGGAAGAACGAGCTCCCATAGGCTGCAGCCATGAGCAACTGTTTCGCAGTGCCAAGATGCAAAATGTGCAAATTCATGAATTGTAGATGAATGTCGTATGAAATAGAGAAGAGCATGGATAAAAAGAAATGTACGTGTTCAGAACATGGCTCAAGTTTCTAACTCATAGGAATCTGTTGTGTAAAATATGCTTTCCACGTTTTTAAAAATTGTGATAAGCCAGGTGCTTGCGGCTCACACCTATAATTCTAACTACTTTGAAAGCTGAGATCGGGAGGATCGTGGTTTGAGGCCAGCCCAGGCAAAAAGAAAAGCTTGCAAGGCCCCATCTCAGTGGAAAAAAAAAGCTGGATGTAGTTGCTTGCATGTCATCCCACCAACAGCAGGAAGAGTTAAAATAGGATGACTGGCAAAAAGCAAGACACTATCCCCAAAATAACCATAGCAAAAAGGAGTGGAGGTGAGGCTCAAGCAGTAGAGTGCCTGCCTAACAAGCAAGAAGCCTGGAGTTCAAATCCATAGTACCACCAAAAAAAGAAAGTGATGAATATTTTCAGTGATGTTGGGGATAGACACAAAAGGTGAATGTAGTTCTGAAGGAAAACTTTCGTGATATTTGATAAACTTACTCTCAGGTGGCTAAGATTCTGAGCCAACACTGACTTAGTTGTCCCAGTTACAGAGTCAACCACTTTGCTCTTGTTTCTTCCTGATTATGTTGCCCATCAGCTGAGGAAAGATTGAAAACACATAGGCAGTTTCAAAAGCAAACAATCTCACTGAGAGGATAAATTTAATTGATCTATTGTCAGGTATTTTCTGAATTGTCACCTTCCTAGAGCTTTGGATCACTGCTCTTTACATCCTCTGCAACAGGTGCCATTCTTTAACAAAACAGCTCAAGTAATAAATGGTAAAGACACATAAGAGTCAAGAATTGATAGTTAAATTGTCTATATGTGACTCAATGAGAGTTGGTAATTTTTTTAATAACATTACTGTATGTGTTTTTATAATCCATCCCTGAATTGCAAGACCTTTTGCATATCAGTGAATAAAAGTAACAGAAGAAGAAGATTAACAGACACTGTGTTTGTAATTAAATTCTAAATAGCCCTTCTTTTTTATAGGCATGCATATCATTCTGTTTCAACTCCCCCTGTTTACCCTGCAAAAAATGTTACTGACCTAAAACTTCATGTGACAACTTCACCACTCCAGAGTTCCGATGCTGTCATCATCCATCCTGGGGCAATGCTGGCCATGTTGGACCTTCTGGCCTCTGTAGGGTCAGTGGCACAGCCAGAAGTAAGCTTGATTATGACAGTTCCTTCCCTTCTGTAATGAGTAAAAGGGAAAGTGGGTTTTCATAAGCATAGGGGTTGGGGAAGAAGGAAAATGATACAGAATTTGTTATATAACTCGTACTGAAATAGGTAAAGGAAAAAACAGGACTTCTCTCTTTAATTCTTACCTTCAGGATAAGTGGTATATATATAATGTGTGTGTGTGTGTGTGTGTGTGTGTGTGTGTGTGTGTGTGTGTGTGTGTGTCTGTGTGTCTGTGTTTTAGAATGCAGTTAATTTGTTATAAATGCAACGCAGATGGTTACTTCTGATGCTAGAATAATTCTGTTTCCCTTTGCAAATATTGCTCAGTAGTGGAAATTGTTAATTAGTAATACAGAAAGGAAAACGGCTGGAGATACTACATTGATGCTATTTATTTGTTTTGACTTGTACTCAAATTTTAGGGTGAATTGGAGTTTGCCTAGATATTTTTGTTAAAGTGTTGTGTGACCTCAAAAGCCTAAAGCATCACAAATGTAAATGGTAAACCTTCATTTAAGCATGTAGAGACTTCCTATTAAAAGTTTTGCTTCATGTGGAAAGAGTTGTCATTTCTATCACTAAGTATGTCCTTGTTGACTTTAGCATGCTTTGGACCTTCAACTTGCTGTGGCAAATATTTTACAATCCCTGGTGCACACAGAAAGAAACCAGCAAGTCATGTGTGAAGCCGGCCTTCACGCGCGACTGCTACAGAGGTGCAGCGCTGCTCTGGCTGACGAGGACCACGCTCTGCACCCACCTCTCCAGCGGATGTTTGAACGCCTGGCCTCTCAGGCCTTGGAACCCATGGTGCTGAGGTCAGTAAGGTCTTTTTTGTGTTCAGATAGGCCACAGTTAGTAATGGCAGTTTTAGAGTCTTGATGATTCAAGAGTTCTTGCTTTAAAGTACATATATTCAGTTGTCTGTGGGCAAAACCAAAATGCACAACACACTTGAAACAAAACACTTAGAAACAAGTCTGTTTATTAGTAAACAGCATTTCTTTTCTTTTGGCATTTCTTCCACTTAATCTAGCAATACAATTTTCTGTTAGAAAATAAAATCCCATATACTATAGAACTTACGTATAGTATAGGGCTTATATTGATTTTATATTTAAGATTTTTTTGTTTGTAAGAAGTTGTTAAAAATGCTTTTTAAACTTATTTTATTTTGAAATAATGATGTATTTTAGTAAGAAGTAATACAGATCAGAAAGGTTCCTTGTCTGCCTCACCGGCTTCCTCCAACACGTTATATAAGTGTAGTGAAATATCAAAACCAGGAAATTAATATTAGTATGATATATCCATGTATGCATTTAATTCTCTCTTATTGGATCCATAGGTAGATTTTTTTTTTTTTTCGAAGCATGGTCTTGGGTCAAGCCCAGTCTGGCCTTGAACTCTGGCTCCTCTTGCCTCATTCTCCCAAGTGCTGGGATTACAGGCATGTGCCACCATGCTTGGCTCATGTGTAGATTTATGTAATCACCACACAATCCAAGATGTCACAAATATCTCCCTAGTGTTACTCTTTCATACCCACTCCCTTATCTTCCACCATCTCAACCTCTGGGACGTGAAATCATGCACCATGGGACCTTTTAAGATTGGCATTTTTCACTTACCATATTCTCCTGGTAGGCATACAAGTTGTTATGTGTATCAATAGTTTGTTCATTTATATTGCTGAATAATATTCTATGGTATAGCTGTACAACAGTCTGTGAATCATTCAAGAATTTATTTTTTCATTCCTGCAAGTGCTGGTGATTGAACACAGGGCCCTGTGAATACTAAGCAAGCACTGTACCAACCACCGAGCTACATCCCTTGTCCAAGAAAAATATTATTTTGTAATAACCTTTTTCTTTTTTATTTTGGTGATGGTACTGGGGTTTGAACTCATGGCCTTGCACTTGCTAGGCAAGTGCTCTGCCACCTTACCAAATAACAATTACTACATAATTAGATAAAATTGTGATGAAAATCACCCATTTTGACATGCTCAGTTCTCATAATGAATGAAGTCTCCAAAAGAAAAGTTAAGTAATCGTATAAGGTCCCTGCTACTTATAAGCCATAGATTACATTCTGCTTGTATATAATGTTCTATGTGTATAACTGGCTAAAGGAACCTCACTTTTTTAAACCTTTTTGTGTGTGTGAATTGAAAAAACAGATGTATTCCATTTTTTTCACAATCCCATAAGTGAAGGATATGAAATAATCCTATTATGTGCAATTCTTGTATAATTTGTTCTATCCGTATGTCACATTCCAAGAGGACATGGATCTTACTCTTTTGAGTGCTTGGAATAAGTGCAGAAGGAGCTTATTTTTGTAAAGATTATAGATATGGAATATTCTTTATCCATTGCTATCATTTCCTGCTCTACAAGATGCAAATTATCCAGATTTGGAACCCCTGCACTAGGCACTGGGGAAACATTGGTAAACAGAAAAAGGAAGGATCATAGTCTCAAAATGTGTAGTCTAGAAATGAATATAGTCATATAAGCAGGAAATTAAAATACTCTATATTAAGTTCTGTAATAACAGTGTTACAGTGTTTATATAAGAGCAGTTTACCCAGACTTTTAGGGAGGGTGTCTCAGAGGAGGCTTTGTGGAGGAAATAACATTTTACGAAAAAAAAAAAAAAAAGCGGGGAATAGAACATTCTCAGCAATGAGAATGTCAAATGTGAGGTCCAGAGTCAGGAAGGAGTGCAGGATTATCAGGGAATAAGAAGAATTAAGCCTGCCTTGCATGGAATTCATGATCAAAAGAAGTAAGGTTAGAAACTAACATAGAAATCACCTCAGGTGTGGTGCTCACTGTATGCTAAGTCACTTGTAGTAACAGACAGACATTGCAGTCTTAGGGAAAAGAATGACCTGAATACATGTTAATTTTGAAAGATGCTAAATGAATAGATTGAGTTGGGAAAAGACTGGAGTCAGAAAAAGAAATTAAGGTTCCAATACAAAAGTAGTGTGGTTGGTTTGGGTGGAATTAGCAGAAATAGAGAAAAGGCAAATTTGAGATATTTTTAGGGAGTGGAATCATCAGGATTTTCTGATGTGGAAAGCCAAAAGAAATCAAAGTACACTTCAGTGAAATGCAAAACATAAAAGTTCTAGACTTGGATAGAGGTGATGAGTTTGGTTTTAAATATACTGGATTTGGACCACTTACGAACATCTAAAAAACATGAATTTTGAAAGTTACATAGTAGATATATAGGTATATTGTGACTAAAATATGAAACATTCTGTCTTGTTTTATAATGAATTTTTTCTTTTTTATTTTTTACTTAACTCCTACTTTCTTATGTGTTGGTTTCTGAATTATATAATTTTTTCCATCAAGGAATAATTTTGCTTTCTCTTTTTTTTAGGGAGTTTTTGCGTTTGGCAAGTCCTTTAAATTGTGGTGCCTGGGACAAAAAACTGCTAAAACAATATAGGGTCCACAAACCAAGTTCATTGAGTTATGAACCAGAGATGAGAAGTAAGTTGACTTTTGACATTTCCATTGGTGGTTTGTTTTATTAATGAAAATCATGCAAGGGATGAGTTTATAAAAGAAAAGAAGGAAAGGTTTTGCTGTTTGTTATGTAAGCAGAGACACACACAGGTCAGTTATTGTGAGTAAGGTGGGGAAGGAGTGACTTTGATGGTACAAGGGAAATTATAAGGTGTGAGGGTCAGTCTTACTCGTTGGTATGGAAAAAGGAATACCTTTCTCAGAGGAGCTGTAATTTTTTTGCCCTTGCTGCTTGGACCAGAGTGGTTTTTTTAGATAATTACCAGGCTGGGGATTTGCAAGACAGCTGCTACAGGAAGACCTATAGAACAAGAAATTAGAAATACTGACAAAAATAAAGTTATACACCAAGGAATGTAGGCCCAAGAGGGAAAATAGTGAATTCCAAGTGACTTCTGAAGTGGAGTGGGGGTGACACTCACTGGAACAAAGATGATCCTACAACTAGAAGGGAGTGTCAGGTGGGTTGCTCATGTGGACATGGACACTGACATCCTCCTGCACTCCTTTGTGCATGTTTAGAGGGAATGAAATGTTTTCCCCATTATATTTGTGATGGATTCCTGGGAATATGAAATAGTTTGTTTATAATTTGTCTTTTCGTTCTTGAAATTGTTATCATTTGTATACATGTAGGAATCCTGAAATCAGCAACTTTTTGGTCACGTATTTATTCCAATAGTTCTAAGGGAAGAAATAAAAATGGGGAGGAAATGTGGGAAGCAAGTTGCTGCTGTTTAACTCTGATACGTTTTCATAAGAAAGAAGACCTGTTTTCCTTCTGTTGTAATACATCTAGAATATTTTGCTTTCTTCACAAAGAAAAACAATAAAAGTTAGTTTTGTGAAATAACAGTATAACCTGGTTTATAAACCATCCACAGAGGTTTATAATTGAATTATATTGTAACAGTGGCTTCAGTGGTCATTATTCGTGGTTTATATTTTTACTTACACTTTAGTTTCCAACATTTCTGCAATGTGCACATTACCTTAGTATTAAGTTTTAAAGAAAACACAGCTACTTCAACTTAAAAAGGAACATAAACATTAAAACTGGATAACCTTGGGATTTGAAAAGAAGATTATTATACACTGAAATTAAAGTGTTGTATTTAAAAATAAACCAGTCTATAAATTAATCTTAAATTTCTACATTATATTTTTTCCCAAGAGATTTTCTGTGCCTTATTTTCTGTGCCTTACAGATAGCATGATCACTTCTGTGGAAGGCCTGGGTTCTGATAATGTTTTTAGCTTACATGAAGATAACCATTATCGAATAAGCAAAAGCCTGGTGAAATCTGCAGAAGGAAGTACTGTGCCCTTGACCAGGGTGAAGTGCTTGGTCTCCATGACAACCCCACATGACATCAGACTTCATGGGTCATCAGTTACTCCAGCTTTTGTTGAATTTGATACATCCCTTGAAGGGTTTGGGTAAGGAAATTGCAAGGTAGCTAAGCATTACTCTATTATTTTATGTCTCACACTTGCCTTTGCAAACTGGTCTTTGGTTTTAAATGTATCTGATTAAAATATATTATGCTATATACATACCACATGTATTCAAATGATTTCAGTTCTTTGTGCATGCTACTTTAAGATTTCTACATTTAATTTTTTAGATTGTTTGCTATATTAAATAAACCAATATAATAGAGAAGTGAGTAATCTAAAGCCCTTGGGTCAAATCTGCTATCGTTAGTAAAGTTTTTGTAAACTTACCTAGGTATGGTGGTACACACCTATAATCAAGCTTGAGGTTGAGGCAGTAGTGTCATGAGTTCTGGGCCAGCCTGGGCTACATAATGAGACCCTGTCTCAGATAATCAAAAAGAAGAAAAAAAAAAATGTAACTCTTACTGCTTTGTGAGTGCAGTTTTATTGGAACACAGCTTTACTCATTCCTGTTCTATGGCTGTTTTGGTGCCTAATACATCAGAGTTGTGTAATTTGATAGAGAACTGAATGACTTGTAGAGCATAAAATACTTAAAATCTGGCCAACTCCTGATATAGTAAATATAAATATATACATTATATATACATTAAAACTAGATTAAAAGCTCTATGAGATTTTATTATCATTCTGTCCCTCACATTACTTAGGATAATATCTTAACACATTATAAAGATTCAGTGACTGCTGATGAGAAAATGAATTTAAGTGGTTGAAGAGGCTGCAGCAGCAGAAGCAGCAATGAAGAATCTGTTGGAAACCTACAATTTTGTGATGTACACCAACCTCAAGATAGACAGGCACAAATGCTAATAGTGCTAAAAAAATAGCTACAGTATAAAGTTCATATGGTTTTGTTACCATCTTTGTTTTCAGGTAGATAGGATTCAGCACAAATTCATTACTATTACTCTATTTTCACGAATAGCTAGATCTATTAGCTATTAGAATGCTGACAGATTATTTATGTGTGTACTAGTCATAGGATTCCTATGTTGTTCTAACTCCTAGCTGCATTTTTAAGAAGATTGTTGTGAGTCATCATCAAATAAGGGATGTTTGGGAACAGTCATAAAGAATTAGATTAGTAGTAAGAGGAGAGGGCTGGTAGAGAGGGGCATAAGGGTGATAGTTCTGTGGTGCTGAAGTGGTTCTGACGTTTATGTATTTGCGTAGGAGAGATTGAACTCAGGACCATGCACTTCAGCACTGTGCCTCCTCAGACACTCCCCCAGTCCTTTTGTTATTTAGTTAGTTTTTCAGCCAGGATCTTAGGCTAACTTGTCCAAACTGACTTTGAACTGTAATTCTCATGCCTCTGACTCCTGCCAGCATGCCCAGCTTGTTTTTGAGATAGCATCTCACTCACTTTGCCTAGGTCAGCCTCCAGTCATAATCATCCTACTTCTGTCCTCCAATTAGCTGGAATTACAGGCGTGAACCACCACACCCAGCACTGTTCTAATGTTTTGATTGGAGTTACATGTTTATTCATTTTGCTTGTGCAAATTATACCTTAATATTTTAAAAATTTAAAGTTGAAATGGTACTGTTACTGAGTTTTAAAGAATATCATTTGGTACTCACATAATTAAAAGACAAAAGGGCTTTGCTTATCATCTCGATGCATTCCATGACTTTTACCTCTAGATACCATTTTACATTGACAACTTTTCCCTGCGAGGTGTCCTTACTGCTGAGAAGAAGCGGTTGCTCTCTAATACTTGTCATCTTTTTCAGCTGCCTGTTTCTGCCCAGTTTGGCCCCTCATAACGCCCCTAGCAATAATGCCGTCACGACAGGTCTTACCGATGGGGCTGTGGTCAGTGGCATTGGTTCTGGTAAATATTTCCTTCTGCTTTTCTTTTTGTAGCAGATACTTTTATTTAGAGTTCGGGTGCTTTTATTTACCTCTTTTCTGTGTAAGTGTGAGCTAACATAAACTCTTTCATCACTACTGTTCCCTTTTTCTTTAGGTGAAAGATTCTTCCCGCCTCCATCTGGCTTAAGCTACTCTAGCTGGTTTTGCATTGAACACTTTAGTTCTCCTCCAGGTAGCCATCCAGTCCGACTCCTTACTGTTGTACGCCGAGCAAATTCATCTGAACAGCATTACGTGTGCCTTGCCGTAGTTCTGTCGGCAAAAGACCGAGCTTTGATTGTTTCTACTAAAGAGGAACTTCTCCAAAATTATGGTTAGTATTTATCTTTTTCTGTTTCCTTCTTTTGATTAAGATGTCATTTTATTATTCAGTGAAGGTCCAAATGATAATCTTTTCCAACCTAAATTGGTATAACAGAGTAGGTTATATAAAGTCTTGAATATTGTTTACCAATAAACTTTAAGGTATTTTCAAAAGAGTCTTAAAAAATAGTGGAGAGCCCATGGGCTGGTCGGTCACGCCTATAATCCTAGCTACTTGGGAAGCTGAAATTGGGAGGATTGTGGTTCGAGGACAGCCTAGACAAATAATTGGGGAGACCCCATCTCCAAAATAACCATAGCAGATTGGATAGAGATGTGGCTCAAACAGTAGAGCACCTACTTTGGAAGCACAAATGCCAGAGTTCAAACTGCAGTCCCACAAAAACAAAACAAAACAAAACAATGCAGGGAAAACCTCCAATGAGGACCCATTTCCTCTTGCCATGAATCAGGCTTTTGCTAGGAAAGCAGCTTGCTTTTTTGACATATTTGGTAAAGATTATCATTGACTATGAATTCTGCTTAAGTAAGTAATATCACTGAGTACCTGCTTACCATATATGCTACACTGTGTTAAACACAGTAGCATTTTAATTACTTTAATACTTTTCATCAACTTAATACATACAATTTCATAATCCTAATGCCCTCTAACCTGCCATTACCTTACGTTGTTTTACAATATAATTTTAGTCAAGGCATTCAGGAGATCTTCCTAAGTGAGAAAAACTAAAAAGTAAAATAATAACACATTGGTTGGCATGTGGTTAGTATTCAATAAACAGTAATTGAATATGAATGTTAGCTTTTCAGTTAGATTGTAAGGTTTATTATTTTAGTATTCTTCCTGATACCTAGCTCAGAGCTAAGTCTCAAAGTACTTAGTACTTTAAAATTCTCACCTGAGGGGTGGAGATACATAGCTCAGTGGCCGGAGCAAAGCCCTGGGCTTGATCCATAACACTGCAACAATAAACAAACAAAGTTCTCATTGTCACACTTTGTTTGCCCTTTAGTGGCATTTGGTCCTGTTGACCTCTTCCTCCTCAGTAAAGCTGTCTCCAGCCTTGCATCCTGGATCTCTCAGAGTGTTCTCTCACCATTCCTCTGGCTTCCCTTTCACAGTTTCCTTCTATAGCTTTCTCTTCATCCTTCTCAAAATTAGTATTCTTTTACATTTCATCTTTGGTCTTTGTACTCAATCTGTTCTTTATAAGAAAAACAATTAACACTTTGTGTTGGTTTTAGGTCTTTTTGTCCAACAACAAAATAGAACTTTTCATCTGTGTCCCAAGCTTGGTCTTCATATTTCCATCTGCAAATTAGACATCTCCATATGAATTATCTCCCTATATACATTTCTGTTTCTAACATTTCTTCTTTATATAACCCGCCCCTCCTACTTTCCTGTCTTCATAGATGACACCCCCACTGCCAGTTAATTTAGCCAGCTAGAAATCTTATTTCAACCTTGAAAGTACCACTCCTTCCACTAAGTCTTATTATATTATAACATTTTAATATTCCTTGATTCATCCCTTCTTTCCTGTGTCCACTGTCATAGCACTTTTATAATATTCTTTATGTATTATCTTGACTTTCTAGACTTTAGTTCTTTATTTTGTATTTGTCTATCTACTCTACTAGAGCTATAATCCTCCCACAAACAAGATTATTCTCTTTATGCC